TGAGGGCCAGATTTACTAAACAGGGCAAATTAGCACAAGAGAGCAATTCCAAAACAGCGCCGATGGACGTGGGAATTTCTGCGGGTGATTTACTAACAATGCGCAAATTAAAGAACACAGGCGCAACATCTCATTTACATATCGACCAACACAATATACCAAGCGCAGCGCAAATTAGCGTAGTTGCAAAAAAGAATAAAGAAATAAAGAAGCCACGCTGAAAAGAACCGGAGGACAAAAAATGAAGGTTTGCTAGAAGCTTTGATAGACCTGGTATTGCGTGACTCCTAGTTGAGGGTTCCAAGTCGTCTTTTATTTCCTGAAGCAAATTAAAAATAACATGGCTTGGCAAACGATATGCTCGGATAATGTGTTCTTCTGGCATTCAAAATAAATTAATACGTGTGGAAAAAATCCTCTCACTTCTACCACGCGCTCTCTGATCTCTGCGGTGCCTCCTCCTAGCAACAATAATTGCAGCCATTTCAAGCACTAAATAGTTTAAGACATGCTTTTTTTGACCATTAAATAATGGCGCAAATGCCAGTAATTTGACGAGCGCAAACTTTAGTCAAACGCGTTGCGTGATTTATTTGAATACTCTCCTCCCATAACTTTTGCATCTGAAAGGGAAACTCCTACAAATGCATATTCAATAAGGTCAGGCGCAAAAATAACTGTGTCCACGCCTTTTCAGCGCTAATTCTTCACTGTGCGTCTTTAGTAAAACCTGACAGTACTATTTTAACGCCAAAAGACGGTTTGCGCTGGCGCAAGCTGTTAGTAAAACTGGCCCTTTATGTAGTAAACCATCAGACACTATAAGAAAACAAATTCTTATCAAAAGCAGTCTGATCTGGCCGTGGTGTTTAACTACAGAATGTTGTTCCTTACGCCACCTGGTGGATATTGTGTGAAGCACAACAATGTTGTAAAAAAATCTGAAAAAGCGCCTGCAAGGAGCTCCGTGATCACGCATGGCAAATGCTAATTGGTTTTCTCCTGTATCGGAACATATACAAGGCTGTATACTGTTTTATACATGCTTACGATAGAATCCTTAGTTAAAGGGTTAGTTCACCCAAAAATGAAAATAAGAAAGTCATATATACCTAGGATGCTTTGACGGTGAGTAAAACATGGGCTAATTTTAATTTTTGTGTGAACTAACCCTTTAATATAACCTCACCTATAGCCACTGTGCGTCTTTAGTAAAACCTGACAGTACTATTTTAACGCCAAAAGACGGTTTGCGCTGGCGCAAGCTGTTAGTAAAACTGGCCCTTTATGTAGTAAACCATCAGACACTATAAGAAAACAAATTCTTATCAAAAGCAGTCTGATCTGGCCGTGGTGTTTAACTACAGAATGTTGTTCCTTACGCCACCTGGTGGATATTGTGTGAAGCACAACAATGTTGTAAAAAAATCTGAAAAAGCGCCTGCAAGGAGCTCCGTGATCACGCATGGCAAATGCTAATTGGTTTTCTCCTGTATCGGAACATATACAAGGCTGTATACTGTTTTATACATGCTTACGATAGAATCCTTAGTTAAAGGGTTAGTTCACCCAAAAATGAAAATAAGAAAGTCATATATATACCTAGGATGCTTTGACGGTGAGTAAAACATGGGCTAATTTTAATTTTTGTGTGAACTAACCCTTTAATATAACCTCACCTATAGCATGTTTGTGAATTTATCTATGAATTTGTATTTTGATGATCTAAATGAGTGTATATTATATGTTGATACCCAAGCAATATGTTAGTGTTCTGAGAATCTTTAATAGTTTGGCATAATGCTGTCGTGGCCTAATGGTAGAGAGTCGGGCTTGTAACCCAAAGGTCCGGCAGAGATTGTAGGTGGGGGGAGTGAATAACCAGCACTCTCTCCACCCTCAATACCAGGACTGAGGTGAGACCCTTGAGCAAGGCACTGAACCCCCCACTGCTTCCCGGGCACCGCAGCATTGGCTGCCCACTCCTCCAGGTGTGTGTGTTTCACTACTCACTGCTGTGTGTGTGCACTTGGATGGGTTAAATGCAGAGCACAAATTCCAAGTATGGGTCACCCTACTTGGCCACAAGTCATCTCCTTTTCTTTTTTTGTATCAATCCAATTGCATATGCAAAATAACATGCTTGAAGACAGAGTTGTAAAATTTCCCTCCAAAGGTACCGTTCCTCATTGGCTCACTCAAATCCTTCTCATTACATGCTCTAATGCAGTAGTCCTGTAAGAAAATTATTTTCTGTGGCCATGAAAATATCATTTTTTAGAGTTGATATGAAATTACACTAAATGTTCGCTGGACGAACGGATTAGTTGTTGGTAATATTAATTCTGCTACAGTTACTACTGGCAGCTGAGATAAATTATTCTAATTAATTGTAATTATGTCATGACAACTCTCAGAGTGATTGGCATGGTAATGTACATGACAATGTTAATGTATTTGGTCTTGGTGGAATAGATCTGCTACGCTGCTGCTGCTGCGGCAGAGCAAGTACCAGGACATGCTACTGCCAATACATCCACAACATGCTACTGTGAGCATGTAAGAAATACCGCTGATGAACATATAACATATGAATTGAGCTAATTTGCTACAGGACTGTAGGCTGTACAGAAAGCGAGTAAAGAACACTCCTTTTAAAATAATTGAAGATGACAATTATTTAACTACAATCAATGAATCTGCCAAATGAATCTCTTATTTACATTGTGTGTGCACACTTTGATTTTAATGAGATTTTTTATTAAAAAATGTATAAATCAAAGACATTTACACAAACAACTACATGTAAGATGTTTGAAAGATTTTTGTGAATATGTGAAGTTAGACAGATTAGCACAGGCAGAGGTTAATGTATTCCTCAACTGTAAGTCGCTTTGGATAAAAGCTTCTGCCAAATGAATATAGCGAAGGGTGCATCTATTGTACACTTCATTTGCCTGCGAAATGGAGGGCGCACTTGAAGTCACTTTAAAATTGCATCAGCCTTCGGAGGGTGAATCGTGAATTGGGACAGCCTTCATAGTGACGCAGTCGCACTTCAAATGTGGCTTTCGAAGTGCGCAACCTTCACTTTGGCACGCAGCTATTGTCATGCTGATCGAGTTAAAATAACAAACTGGAAGCTATAAAAGGAAGGTGGTGCTTGAAATCATTGTTCTACTTTTGTTAACCATGGTTACCTGCAAGGAAACACGCACAATCATCATTGCTTTGCACAAAAAAGGGATTCACAGGCAAGGATATTGCTGCTAGTAAGAGCAATCACACTGGTGCTACTTTACATCCGAAACTCTAATCACAATGTAAACGGCTTCTCTCCAGTGTGAACCTTCATGTGCTTCTGAAGGTTTCCTTTTTTAATGAAGCTCTTTCCACACTGGCAGGTGAAAGGTTTCTCTCCAGTATGAATTTTCATGTGGCCATCAAGGTTTTGTTTATGTGTAAAACTTTTTCCACATTGAGAGCATGTGTAAGGCTTCTCTCCAGTATGAATTCTCAAGTGGTTTTTAAGGTTTGCTTTTCGAATGAAGCTCTTTCCACACTGTTTGCAGGTGTAAGGCTTCTCTCCAGTATGAGTTCTCATGTGGTCTTTAAGGTTTCCTTTTTGAGCGAACCTCTTTCCACACTGTTGGCAGATGAAAGGTTTCTCTCCAGTATGAATTCTCATGTGGCCATCAAGGTGTTGTTTATGTGTAAAACTTTTTCCACATTGAGAACATGTGTGAGGTTTCTCTCCACTGTGAATTCTGATGTGGTTTTTAAGATTAGATTTTCGAATGAAGCTCTTTCCACACTGTTGGCAGGTGAAAGGCTTCTCTCCAGTGTGAATTCTCATGTGAAGATTAAGGTTCCCTATTTCAGTAAAACTCGTTCCACACTGTTGGCAGACAAAAGGTTTCTCTCCAGTGTGAACTCTCACAGGGTATTTAAGGTTTGCTTTTCGAATGAAGCTCTTTCTACACAGTTTGCCGGTGTAAGGCATTTCTCCACTGTGAATTCTCATGTGGACTTCAAGGCTTCCTTTTCTGTTGAAACTTTTTCCACACTGTTGGCAGGTGAAATAACGTCTGTTTGCTGTATTTTGAGCTCTTTTTTGTGTCTTTTCAGTATTTGAGCAACTAAATGTTTTTCCTCTTTCTACACAGTTTGCCGGTGTAAGGCATTTCTCCACTGTGAATTCTCATGTGGACTTCAAGGCTTCCTTTTCTGTTGAAACTTTTTCCACACTGTTGGCAGGTGAAATAACGTCTATTTGCTGTATTTTGAGCTCTTTTTTGTGTCTTTTCAGTATTTGAGCAACTAAATGTTTTTTCTCCAGGCATGAAACCATATTTCTCATGGTGAACATGATCTTCCTTTTTACTGTATTCTTGACTCTCCTCTTTCAGTGTCATTAGGTCTAATGCAAAAAAAGAAAAATCCAAATTAACACCATTTTTAAACACAAGGAACACAAAGTTTAAGGCACAAAGAACAAACATCAAAACCAACAACATGTAGATCTAATAAACACTAAGCTATTAAAGGAGGTGTTAAATGTAATCTCAAAAACTCCTTCCGTTATTTGAAGTGATGATGATAAAAAAAGAGCAAAGTTTGTTTTCTCATGCTCATTTTCGAGGTAATGGATGTGATCCAGGGGCATATAATTAGGGGGTGACGCTAGGGTCATGTCCCTACCAATATCCAGCAACTACCAAATTGTCCCTAGCAATAATTTTCATCAAACAATTAAATATATGTATATGTTTTTGTAATTTCGGATGCATCTGAAATATATCATACTATTGATATTACCTAAGAATTTAAAGTAAATACGTTAGAAAACTGCGCACTTTCAAGGACGCACATTTAATACATGGACGTAGTAAGAACGTAAGGCAGTCACATTAGGGCTGCACGATAAATCGCACGCGAAATTTAATGCGCATCTTGTCAGTAAAGTCGGTTCTTTAATCAGCGGTAAATCTCCATCACCTGCGGGCTTTCACATTGAGCAGCATTAACTACACAGAGCCGTTGTTCACTGACAAGCTGCGCAAAACCACGATCATATTTTGCGCATGTTTTGCGCAGCTTGTCGGTGAACAACGGCTCTGTGTAGTTAATGCTGCTCCATGTGAAAGCCCACACGTGATGGAGATTTACCGCTGATTACAGAATGGCTTTACTGACAAGAAGCGTGTTAAATATCGCATGCGATTTATCGTGCAGCCCTAAGTCACATACCGGACGAAAAGCGCAGCGCAGCGCCGCGTTTACAACAACTCACAGGTAGCCTATTGCACCCAGTTCAAGACAGCAGTCCAAAACATTAAAAAAAAAAAAAATTTTAAAAGTTCACTTAGGAATTAAAGTTGTGTCGATGAGTTTGAAATACTGTGTTTGACAAAACAGAAAAAGAAAGTGTGATCTATGTGAGTGGCGCTCTGCGGTGTGGCGGGATTTGGAACAGCATCTTGGATCGCCGCAGATTTTAACTTATTGTTGCTAAACTGAATGTACAAAGTTAGCTGATATATCATCAAAATAAAAAACAACACTGAAATGAGAGCTTGTGGTTTATCTGTCAATCAGATGCACATAAAAGTTTCGTTATACAGCAACAGTAGAATTTCTTTCAGAATTATCCTGGGTCCAATTCAATTAATATTAAAATAAAGTTATGCGTGATTAAGACAAATAAAGTTAT